GAGAGACCCGGGTTTGGTTCCCGCTAAGGGCATGTACCTCGGTTGCAGTTTGTCCCCGGCCCTGGTTGGGTCGTGCGGGTGGCAGCCATTTGATGTGTCCCTTTCACGTCGATGTTTCTCTCTCTCTCTCTCTCTCTCTCTCTCCCCCTCCCGCTCTGTCTAAATTAAAAAAAAAAAGAAAATGAAAAAATGTCCTCGAGTGAGGATTAAAAAAAAAAAATTTTTTTTTCTTTATTGATTTTAGAGAGAGAGGAAGGGAGAGGAGGAGAGAGAGATAGAAGCATGGATGAGAGAGAACATCGATTGGCTCCCTCCTGCATGCCCCGCACTGGGGATTTGGCCCACAACATGTGCCTTGATAGGGAACTGAACTGGTGACCTCTTGGTGCATGGGTTGACGCTCAACTACTGAGCCACACTGGCTGGGCCACTGGTTAATTCTTTTTTTATCTTCACTAGAGGACATTTTTGCATTTTTTGTTCAGGTAGAGTGGGAGAGAGAGGTGGGGGGAGAGAGAGAGAGAGAGAGAGAGAGATCGAGATCGATCGACATGAAAGGGACACATCAAGTAGCTGCCACCGCATGGCCGGGGCCAAACTGCAATTGAGGTACGTGCGGAAACCGAACCCGGGTCTCTGTGGACCGCAGACCAACACTCTAACCGCTGAGCCAAACCAGCCAAGGTGGTTAATTCTTATATATGCCCTGACTAGAGATCTAACCTGAAATCTTGGCTCATTAGGATGATGCTCTAACCAACTGAGCTACCTGGCCAGAGCTATCATGAACTCTTTAATGCCTTTCCAATTTCTCCTTCTTTTAATATGATAATCACTATCTTTTGTAGGTAAATGTTTGCTCAAATTATTTTGTTAGGATCTATTCTTATTAGCAAAGAGCAGAATTACTGTGCCAAAGAGGGAACATTTTAATGACTCTTGACACATATTTCCAACGTGTTCATTAAAAAGGCTGCATCTTTTCCCATCACCCTTGCTAATGAGTATTTTTTAAAAAGCTACAAAGGATTTTATTGATTTTACATATGCTATGATAGAAAATGTAGAAGAAAACACAGTATCAGTGGTTAGTAATTTCTCTGAGTAATGGAATTATGAATGATTTTCATTTTCACCTTTGAATTTATTCTGTACTATCTGATTTTTCCATAACATGTATATTATTTCTGTAATTTAAAAACTAGTAAGTTCACAAAAGGATAAATATTGTATGATTCCATTTATATGAGATACCTAGAATAATCAAATCCGTAGAAATAGAAGACAGAAGTTACAAGGGGCCTGGAGAAGGCAGAAAGGAAAGTTAGTAGATGGCGGTGATGGCTGCACAGCAGTGTCAATGTACTTAATGCCAATGGACTGTAGGTTTAAGAATGGTTAAAATGGCCCTGGCTGGTGTGAATCCATGGTTAGAGTACTGACCCTGGAGCTGAAGGGTCTCGGGGTTTGATTCCGGGACAAGGGTGCCCACCTGGGTTGTAGATTCCATCCCGGACCCCAGTCAGGGTGAGTGCAGGAGGCAACCAAATGATGCCTCTCTCTCTCTCTCTCCCCACTTCCCTTCCACTCTCTCTAAAAATCAATGGGAAAAATATCCTCAGATGAGGATTAAAAAAGAATGGTTCAAATAGTGTATTTTATGTTGTGTATATTTAATCACAACAAAAAATTTAAATAGTAAAAGTTTCATTTACATATACAAATTATGAATGTTTGTCATAAACATATATAACAGTAAAAACTACAAACAATTTAAATACCCACTGATAAGGTGTAATTAAATAAAGAATCATGTGCCAGACAAGGACATGAATCTATATTTTTGACACAAATATGTCTATGACACGCTAGAAAAAAGAAGGCTATTGTATGGAAAGTATGATCTCATTTTGACATTAAAAAAGAGAAAACAGCCCTGGCTAGTTTGCTCAGTGGTTAGAGCATTGGCTCGCAGACCAATGAGTCGCGGATTTGATTCCAGTGAAGGGCACATACGTCACATCAATGTTTCTCTTCCTTTCTCTCCCTCCCACTCTACCTGAACAACAACAACAACAACAACAACAACAAAAAGGAGAAACGTCCTTGGGTAAGGATAAAAAAATTTTTTTTTAAATGAAAAAAGATAAAATATATGGGTAAATATACACAGCAGTCTGTGAAGCTAAATCCTGAACTGTTAGCCATGGCTACTTCTCAATGGTGCGATGACGGGTGATCCTTTTCTTGCCTTCTACATTTTCTGGCAACAAGCATCTGTTACTTTCATAATCAGGAAAGCAATAAAACTCTCTAAAAAGAGAATAAATAAGGTCACATAAAGGACAGCGTAAGCGGACCACGGACAGATGAGAGAGACGAATTGTGCACAGTGTTCCCTACTCAAGTGAACAGCCTTGCTCCACGCTGGCAGCGGGCAATCTGCGAGGGTGGCTCGGCTGCCAGACATCCCAGCCCATCTCAGGCCTTCAAGAGGCCACCAAACCCCTCTTACTTAAAGGGCAATAGAGCGGGAACACCTGAGCACACGAGGACTTGGACATGGGAAAGCGGTTTCTGAGGAGCAGGTGGGCGGGGGAAGGAAACACTTTGGAGAGAAAACCAGCCAGCAGCTAGTTAGACTGTTAACAGTTAGGTGGTGGCTTTCTCCTTCTGGGAAGTGGACCTCCGCCACTGGCCTGCTACGCAGAGCCAGGCCACTCATCACTCTAAATGCCCAAATTAATCACTTGGCTGCGTAATCACGGCCAGGCACTTGGTCTGTTTGGCGGCCCGGCCTGTCTGGCTGCATCTGCTGCAAACGGAGTCCTGCCTGAGCCAGAGCAGGTACCACTTGCTTACCACATGTTGTTCTCCCTTCACCAAGACATGTGCCCCCGGCTGTGAGTCTGAGACAGGGACCCTTGCCCAGCCTGCAATGTTACATTAGCCCTTGAACTCATGGTGCCAACTTACAAAAGCACCTTGTAGATGGCTGCCTGTATGGCTGAGGGCTCAGCAGGGGGTTCAAAACCTACTGCTGGTCCTAAATCTGGTGCAGTCTACTAGTGTCTAAACACAGTGCCCAGACACAAGAAAGAAACAATTAGCCTGGCCAGTGTTTGAGCATTGTCCCATGCACCAAGAGGTCACTGGTTCAATTCCCAGTCAGGGTAAATGCCTAGGTTACAGGCTCCATCCTCAGTAGGGAAAGTACAGGAGGAAGTTGATCGATGTTGATGTTTCTCTCTCATCGATTTTGTTTTTAATCCTTACCTGAGGACATTTTTCCATTATTTGTTCAGATAGAGTGGGAGGGAGAGAGAGGAAGAGAGAGAGAGAGAAACATCAATGTGAAAGGGACACACTGAGTGGCTGCCTCCCACAGGGCCCAGCCAGAGCCAGGGACAAACTGCAACCGAGGTATGCACCCTTAGCGGAAACTGAACCCGGGTCTCTCTGGACCGCAGGCCGACACTCTAACTGCTGAGCCAAACCGGCCAGGGTGATATTTTTATCTCTCTCTCCCTCTCCCTTCCTCTCTCTGAAGTCAGTAAAAAAATATTTTAAAAAATAAATTTAAAATTTCTTTAAAAAAAAAAGAAATGACGCCCTGGCCGGTTTGGCTCAGCGGTTAGAGCGTCGGCCTGCGGTCCGAAGAGACCCGGGTTCGGTTCCCGCTAAGGGCACGTACTTCGGTTGCAGTTTGTCCCCGGCCCTGGTTGGTCGTGCGGCTGGCAGCCACTCGATGTGTCCCTTTCACGTCGATGTTTCTCTCTCTCTCTCTTCCTCTCTCTCCCTCCCACTCTGTCTGTACAAAAATTAGAAAAATGTTCTCGGGTGAGGATAAAAAAAAAAAAGAAATGACTAGGGGAGGAAGGGACTCTGATTCACTTTATTGCTATGAAGAAAACCAAGTTAGTGTGCTACTACCAGAGGTATGGTGAGACCTGGGTGAGGTCTTGGTTGGCTACTTACTAAAACCTCAGCAAGTGATAAAAAAAACTTTCTGAGCCTCAGTTTCTTCATTTAAATAATGGGAAAGTAAGCACATCTCAAGGGAATATTGTAGCAATTAAATGTGGAAAAGCACAGAACATCTTCAATACATGGTGGTATTGGAGTAGGCATTTAACTTTCCTGAGCTTTAACTTTTCCTCACATACAAAAAGAATTGTTGTGAAGACCATGTACATACTAGCTGCTCAATAAATTATAGCCATCATTATTACTGCTACAAGCTAGAGGCATAGCAAAGCAATTTGGGAAGTTTCCCAACGACAATGAAAGACAACAAGAGGGAGCTGATAATGCCAGAACTGCCTGGAAGGGGGTTCCTGACCTAGTCATCATGTGGACTTCTCTAATCAAATCCTAAACCTGGCTGTGTATAAGAGCAAAGACTGGTCACCTAAGGTGAAAGCATCCAAGTGCCCAAGGGAGAGGATGCTGAGAACATGACTACCCTTGCTGCTGGGGTAGACACTGGTGAGACATCAATGGAGGGCAATAGGGTAATATCTACCAAGTAATAAATCACATTCTCTCACCCAGCTATTTATCCTGCAGTTGCACCTGCACACAAGACCACACACTGCAGCATCCCACGGTAACGCGGCCACAGGGGACTGGTTCAGGGAGCACTACTGCTCCCATGCTGGAGTACTAGAGGGCTGGAGAAATGAGGGAGAAAACTACTGTCCGGAAACATCCCCAAAAGACACTGTGAAATGTAAAAAGTACACAACAGTGTGTATAGATTTTATACCACCTTGAATTTTGAACTATGTGAACATAACTACTGAACAAACAGAACTTGCACCTCTGTTTCACACGCTGTGGCTACACCGACAGAGAGGCAGAGGTCTGCGGGAGTTGGCAGAACGCAGCAAAGGAGGCTCTCCTCAGGGCTTTCAGTCTCAATAAAGCATCTCTCTGACTTAGGGCAAATACACAGACGTTTATCAATCCAGGCCAAACTAATAAATGCTGTGACCAACCTGACAAAGTCTTCGGGAAGCAGGTCAGGATTAACACCCAGGGAGTCAAGCACATCGTTTCGAATCTGGAGCAACAGCTCACAATCTTCCCCAAAGGTATCACAACTAGGGTCTCTTCCCTTATCCGTGCGGAACTTCAGGAGTACTGGGAAAGGAGAAAGAAGGGAGGTTATAAAGCAAGTCTTTTAATAATAAATGCTTGTAGATGTTGAGAATTAAGAAAAAATTTTAATTCTCTAGGAATTATACACTAATTAAAATGTGGGCCAAGCCTGGCCAGTGTGGCTCAGTGGCTGAGCGTTGATACACGCACCAAGAGGTTGCCGGTTCAATTCCTGGTCAGGGCACATGCAAGGTTGTGGGTCCAGTCCCCAGTGGGGGACATGCAGGAGTCTGCCAATTGATTTTCTCTCTCATTGATGTTACTATCTCCCTCTCCTTTCCCATCTCTGTAAAAATCAATAAAGAAAAAAAAAAATGTGGGCCAAATTGCCCTGGTTGGTTTGGCTCAGTGGTGAGAGCGTTGGCCTACAGACTTGAAGGGTTTTATCCCCAGTCAAGGGCACATACCTGAGTTGCAGGTTTGATTCCCCGAACCAGTTAAGGTCGTGTTGGAGGCAATCAATCCATGTGTCTCTCTCTCATCGATATTTCTCTCTCTCTCTTCCTCCCTCCCACTCTATCTAAAAATCAAGAAAAAAAAATATCCTCGGGTGAGGATTAACCAAAAAGAAAAAAAAGTGGGCCAAGTGAAAGGTAATACACTTTTCATTTATTCAACAAATAGTCAGAAAGGCAATCAAATAATTATACAAATAACTAAAATGACTGTGATGAGTGCCAGCATAGTGTACCAGAGGGTTTGACATTGCAGGGTGGTGTCAGGTAAGGCTTCCCTGAGGAAGCAATAACTGAATGAAGTATGTGTTTGGGGAGGGGGAAGCTTCCAGTAGAGGGAAAAGGCCCGATTATGACCCAGAAGAGAGGTCAGGAGCGGGAGGCATGCATTCTAGGCACCAGTTCAAAGGGCTGCTTTAGCCAGAAAGGCCAGCCAAATGCTCAGACTCATCAGACAGGCAAGTCATTACAAACAAAACCTCCCTTAGTACAACAATTATGTCAACCTTCAGAAACGAGTGTTTAATTTTGGTTTTGAACCAGAGAAAGGTTGAGATGATGGCAGCAAATCAGAGCTACTGTGAACAAGACCCTAACAAGGCTTGGATTTTTAGCCCAACCAAAAAGACATAGGCAGGAGCATGATAAGATCAATAAAAATACAAACCCCTTCTACTGCCATTATACCTGTCCACAATGTTCACTGCGTGCAGGGTGATGGCATTCGGGTACTCCCCGAGGCAGGCGTGAAGCCATTCTCTAGGCCACTACGCCCCCATCACACAAGCTGTGTATATCAGTGGAGACAGAAATATGTGGCTCCCTGGGGGCTGTAGGGTAGCACCTTATACCTGGAGGGAACTTTATAGTTTACACAGAGCTTCCATTTGAGTTTCATCGTTACTTGCTGTCTGATAAAGTGAACTTATTCAGCAAATTATCCGCTCTATCAGTATAAGAGGCTCTCCCCTAAAAATAAAGGTAGATTAAAAACTCAGGCAATTTCCTGTGAGGCTCTGTAAAAACGCACTTGGAATCCACCCCAGATTAAGAAATGAGTCCTTCTCTTTCTACTTGTTTTCTTAAGACTCACAAATAGCCTAGGTTGAAAACCACTCTCTAAGAAAGAGTACAAACTCACTCATTCAACCAGCAAGACCGAGCACTCACGGTGTGTCCGGCTGGCCGAGAGGCACTGAAGGGACAAGGGCAGATGAGTGAGACTTGATGCTTGTATGTATGAAGACGATGGGGAGAGAAGAGAGAATTGAGGAGTCACAACAGATGGCTTCAAGCCTGAGAGAAATTCATAAATGGGCTATAAGTATTCCAAGAAGATCCCACACCACTGAGGCTCAGGTAAAAGAAGACACAGACTGCGCCTGGGCTATGCCTTTCTTAGTGCCAGCGTCAGAAAAAGGCCTCTGGTCTGTTTCTCTGGCAACTTTCAAATGCCTAGTATAGGGTTCTGCATATCAGAGGATTTAAAAAGGGGGGTAGGGGGCTGGCCAGTTTGGCTCAGCGGTTAGAGCGTTGGCTCGCGGACCGGAGAGTCCTGGGTTGTTCGGTTTCCACTAAGGGCACATGCCTCGGTTGGAGTCTGTCCCTGGTCCCGGTTGGGGTCGTGTGGGTGGCAACCAGTCGATGTGTCTCTCTCACATCGATGTTTCTCTCTCTCTTCTTCCCTCTTTCCCTCCCGCTCTGTCTGAAGATAAATGCAAAAATGTCCTCGGGTGAGGATAAAAAAAGAAAGGGGGGGTGGGAGGGTTGCTCAGGAACACCTGTTTTGAACACTGTTTGCCATCTGGAAACATGACTCTACTCTTTTTCAAGAACACATCTCCTAGAACCCTCAATTGTACCTGGCCACTTGGCAGCCAACTCAAGGCCAATGGCCATTTGGATGTTGCTAAACTGATCTGCCTTCACCTCAGCTTAGCGTCTACCTCTGCAGATGTGTTGCTGGAATTCCAATCTGGAGTAAATAAATGCAATCACAGAAGCATTTGGGGGCAGGGTGGAGAAGAGATTGCAGAAGAGGCAGTTAATCCCTGGTTAGACCCAGCCTCCTTTCCAGCAATGTCTTGTGAAGACAAAGGAATCTGGAAACCTAGTCCAGCCAAAGCAGAGGACACTCCGAGCACATGATATTGAATGTCAGCACTACTCCCGTCAATCGCTCCTGAGAGGACACAACCACAAACCCAGAACGAGTGTCAGTGCTGCCTGAGCAGATGACCACGGCAATGCCAAGTACAGCCGCTCATACCGAACAATCCAAGACCCAGTGGCAACCACGTGGACAGTGAGTGGCTGCTTAATTTCAGGCTGTCAGGGTGGTGGACAGCAACAGGGCCCCAACTGGTACTGCCTGAGCAATCCTCTCATTTCTGTGTCACTGGGACAGAAGCATCAACTGTCATATGGGACAAAGAAGAGGATCCTTTTTTCAGACCTCACCACAAAGCTTTTCATCTTTTGGTTAAATATAAGCTCTCAGAGAAAGCTCAAATCATCATAACAGCAAAATAGCAAATAATAGCAAAACCAACAGTGCCTACTATGTGCCAGGCATCGTTCTAAATATTGTGCATACATTAACACTCACCCACAATAACCTGGTGAGGTAGGGTGGTCCTATTACTCTCCCTACTTTATAGATGAAGAAACAACTTCTGAGAGGTTAAGTGTCTTGTTCGATGTAACTGCCAATAAGTATTAGGGCAGAAATGGCAACTCTGACATTCAGACTCTGTGCTTCTTAACCCTAATCAAATCCAGGAGAAATGGCAGGACCATCAGGAATGCAGCCCCAAGGATTCCAAGCAGTCTGGCTCTTTGCTCCCCACCTCAGGAGGACTCCCATTCAACCACATTTTTATGCATTTCCCAGATAGGCTCTGCCCTCTCTCAATTGGTCTATTAACTTTAAGTTACTAATTCAGTGGGTGAGAAATGGAGGCGGAGGCCACACGAAACCTTGCCTATCAACAGTAAGACCAGTTTCATCTCAGAAAGAAAGAAGGTGACACTAAGAGGAGTGAAGGCAGCCAGCAGCTGGCCCTGCTGTTTCGCTGGGCCCCTTGCCTGTTCCTGGTGCAGGCTGCCTGGATGAGGGCCGGCAGGCTGGCACCGTCCAGATACCTCGCTGACCACATCTGAAGGCCTCTCAGGGCCTCTGGGAAGGAGGCCAGTCAGAAGGCCACTTATTTGTAGCAAAGCAAACAGAAGCTGTATTTTTCACTCTTTTTCGAATGTCAGCACTCCAGTTAGTGGGGGTGGGAAGAAGCCCATGCTCTAGACAGGCAGCAGCCTCCGAACTGACCCTAGCCCCTGACAAGTTCTTGCTTATTAAATTCTCCCCTTTGTTCTGCTCTCCACCCCTCCCAAATAGCCAGACACATACACATCACTGTTGACTCTGCATTTCTGAAGAGCACCTCCCCACCAGTTTCCAGATTATAAAACTGTTCCATTAAGATCAAACATTTTCAGGAATGGAGAGATGCTCTGCCAAAAGATGACTCATGAATCGTATCAAAACAGTGCACAAAATTAGAGTCCCAAACTTGATTAACTTCATCTGAACCTTTTAATTAACTCAGGTTGCTGAAGGCCAGGGAAATGACATTTATTGCTATAGATGACAGGCTTGTGTCTCTGCTGAAGTTCAGGTCTTGCTCATGTAACAAAAAAGGCAAACTTTGAAAAGGAGAAACCAAGCACCTTTTCACATGAGAACAAAAGCTGTGTACCTGTGAATAACTACCACTTCTGTAAAAAGAAATGAACTCAAATTTAAATTGAATCAGAATACCAGATTACTGTTACTATAGGCACTTGGAAAGCAGTATTATTAATCACTGTATTTCTTTCAACAAGTATCTTAACTGCATTTAAATAGTGATTATATTTAGCATAATCACTAAGGCCATCGAAAAAAAATATTTTTATAAGATTAAAAAATAGTTAATGTTGCAAATTAGCCCCAAGTCTATTACTGTCCCCTAAAACAGCTCAATTAAGGGAGAGAAAGCCAAATCTATATAAAAACCTCATTTGCCTGACTGACGCCTAAAGCTTTCCATGTCAAACACCCCTGCCCCCATCTCCAGCTCTCCCCCACCTACCGATAAACCTCCTCCCAAGCAAGCCGGCTCACTCAGTGGAGCCATTCACTCTGGGAACAGCCTGGAAACCAGTTCTACTCCTGAGTTACACAAACTTCAAAGAAAGTGAGAAGTAGTTATCCTCATAGACAATTACCTGTCTTCTAAGGTAAAACACTAGGTCTGACATTTAGTCAATTGTTCATTCAATAAATATGTACTGAGCGCTGACTTTGTGCCAGGCTGAGTAGGACAGGGGAGAGCCAAATGCATGTTCTGCCTCCAAAAAGCATTTAGTGAGGGTGGCAAACCCAACTACTTACAAGATAGCAAAAGGAGGGAACCAGAAAAAGAACTCTTAGTGTAATGAAGGTGGAATGGGGCAGTCTCATTGAGCAGCCAGGCCCCCCAGCTCCTC